TGCCCCCCTCCTCTCCATCCCCACCCCCCGACCTTGTCCTCTGGCACAGTTTGTCCCACAAGTAAATCAGAGCTCAATCTTCCCTCACACACGGGTAGGTGCTTTGTGAAAACTGTAATCTCTGCTGGTGCCACCTCCTGCAGAATCCCATTCCCGCCCCCGACAAAAGGGGACCTACGTGACCAACAGGGACCAGTACCAGCTCCGAGTCCACCGCCCGAAAGAAAACAGCGGTGACTTTACCAGGAGCCTCGGAGTGTCTGGTCCCCGTGTGCTCCTGCGGAGGGACCCCTCGTGCCTTCCTTACGGCACAGGCCCTGTGTGCCCGCCTGCACCTGCTGACCCGGTCAGCCCTGAAGGGTCCCCATCCCGGAAACCCGTCCGTGTGGGGAGAGGAAGGTGGGGCCGGCCGGCTTCTATAGGAACAGTAGCACCTGAACTTCAGAATAACAGCTGTGAGTCCCCTTAGACCCACCTGAGGGACCGGGTGCACCCGCTGCACTCCTCAGCCGTCACCTGCTGTCACAGGGCCTGCCAGCTCCCACATCCCGCCTCCCACTCTCCGGTCCTAGTGTCATTAGTGGGTCTATAGTCCCAGGGGTGGGGTGAACTCAGCCACCAGGAAAACTACAGACACCCGCAGAGAACACTGGCTTCCCATGGGCAGCCAACGACATTTTGAGAACGAAGGCACGAGATGGGGGCCCTGCGGGGGGTGGGGGGAGCAGGGTGTCAGGGGAGGCCAAGCTTCAGTTCCTTGTTGTGTTTGAAGGAAGAACATTCTGACCTAGGAGCGCCCCATGTCACTCAGCAACTATCCAACTCTTTCGGAAACGAGGAGGCAGAAGAAGACTTTGAATGCGTGTAGCTTCCTTGTTTGGGGTGAATTCCAAGACAGAGGCCACGTGGAACGCGAGATTGCGGTGCAATCCGGTCCCTTGCGTCCCGAGACGCCCCCGATGGACTGTATAAGGCTTTGCATTCGTTCCTGGGCTGAGATCTGCGCTCACGTGTCAGAGAGGCACTGCCTGCGGCACAGTCTCTTAGAAATGCGTCTCTCATCCATGATCCCAGGGACAGTCCCTGTAGCCAGGCATCCATCCTCCAGGTCCAACTAACACCAACAACACGCTTGGGGGAGTCAGCCGGTATGATTCTCACCTGCACCCCGACCTCGGCTCAGCGCCCAGGAGTGCAAGTGTCCCTTCCTGTCACGTGACGTGCAGGACCAGTGAGGACGAGGGACCACACACATCTCAGGTCACACCCGTGGGAGGGGCGGGGGGAGCAAGTTCTGGGTCCAAGGCCAGGATCCCTGGGAAGGACAGACAGGTGGCTGGGCGGCCACGGTCCTCGCTACCACCCTCACCAGGACAGATGTTGGAGAACTCACTCATGTCCTGCCAACCGAGAAATAGAAACGAGCTTTAATATTAAAAAAATGCAGAATCCAGCCACACGTTCCTGGGCGATAAACTGTCCCGCATGCTACAGACTGTTCTGTCGCTGGAACGTCACCTTTTGGCAACGACGTGGTACATTGCTTACATGGCTGAAACACATGTTCGTTTCGGGGCCTTGACTTCTGCTGCCTCTGCAAAGCCAACACACTTAATCGATCCAAAGCAGGCAGCGTGTCACGCCAGCAAAATGGTCATCTTCACTCACAACAGCCCAGTGAGCTAGGGCCGTCCGTCCGCTACACAGAAGGCGCAGCCGATCAGCAAGCCACATGCGAAAGAGAGAAGATGTGTGATACGGGCCGTGCACACGCGTACAATGTATGTGAGACTGACAAAGGGGTGAGCTCAGTGGAATCCATTCAGATTAATTAAGTGAATGCTCACTGAGAACGGCCCAGGGAAAGCCTCTCACTGCCCCCCGAGGGGCCGAGTTGGGGGTGGAGGGAGCAGGGGGGTCCGGCCTGTATCTGGCATGGATACTCAGGATGTTCGAGGCCTGGGCTGCAGGCGTTGGTCCGGTGGCCGCACTCTGGGAGCATCGAGGTCATCCCAATGCTGATGGAGGTTCTCGAACGTCCTGTGTGCTGCGGCCGGATGTGCTCCGCCCTCTGCGTGCACCACCGCGGGGCTCGGCCACACTCTCCATCGTGATAAGGACCGGCCCCTGGACCAGTGTGTCATGTCACTCACAGCTTGCCCTCGCTCGACCTCTGACCCCGCGGGGCCAGGCTCGGCTCTGATGACCAGTCCCAAGGCCCGTGCCCACTTCCCTACTTCACGTCTCCAGAACCGCATCCCTCAAAGAGCCGTCTGGCTGGGGGACTGGGTACAACCGCATCAGGGCCACGAGCCATCGGCCCCGGCCGTCACCGTAAGCTTCACAAAGGGAACGGAACAATCGCCTGATGGCCAGGTCTTTCCGGTGTCTGTCAGTAGCGCTTAGGGGCAGAGACGCACTGAGAAGTGGCTCTTCATCCTGGTCCCGTGGCTTCTACGTATACCTTTGAGCATATGACACAGGAAACTAAATGTAAAAATGCGTGTACATATACATACATGTCACATACTTACACATTTTAATTTCTGTAATTATAAAAATTATAATTACAGAAATTATATTTTTGTAATTTATATTTATGTAATTATAAAATTATATATTTTATATAATTAGGAAATTATATAAAATTTCCTAATTATATAAATTATAATTAGGAAATTATAAAATTTTATACTTGAGACATCTATTTCCTACCTATTTATATTATATATACAGTAGGACCTCACTTCTCAACCTGACAACCCTCACACGCTGATGCCTGTATGACAAGCCACGCATCTCTCAGGCCACAGACAAAGGAGAGAATGAGGGCGTCTGAGTCAGTTTCCCACTGTTACAGTCTCAGGATCCTGTGTTGTGAATACTTTCATG